GTTCAGTGAATGTGATTGCGTCAGAGTTGAGATGCCATTTACCATTCTTATTTCTCACTTATTTATCGGTCTTCCCAACCTATCATTCTAGAACAATCGTGTATCGATTTTATACCTTTACCTACGATACTGTACGTTTCGTTTTTTTGGAAGATTGAATCTCAGAGAAGATAAACTCTCTCAGACGAGATAGTAAACAGTCTCTCCTGAGGGAGAGGATCATCATGAGAACACGACGTGACCAAATTCTAGCCACTGTCTTTGCACAGTTTGTGCTGCCGATGCGGAGTCTCCACATTTTCCGTATTCTCTGTGTTCTCCACAATTATGAACCACCTGTCTACCTCTCTTTAGCCGCTGTTCGACACAGACCACAGTTACGAGAATGCGAGTATTCACAAAGCCATACTAACGAAACTCATTGTGTTCCTACACGACTGCCGGGGGCGGTCGGAAGACGAACGCCGAAGGATGTATACGGATATCAATTTTGCCGTTTGACAGGTAAGAGGTAACAAAATACTGTTGTCGGCCTTTTGAGACTATATGTTTGCTTTTGTCAGAGTGAACTTTGGACCATATGGAAGCCTTTTTATGTATATGGTCCAGGATGAGTTCATGCTAGATTTGAATAAACACTGCCCTGGTATTTCTTAGCCTGATCGATTATTTCATCAACAGATACATGACTGCATTGGTCGGTCACAACCAGCCAATCCGGGCGTTCCATGTCACCACTTGAAGGTCATTGGAACAGCCTTGCTTAAAATAGAGTCACGCTGACTGAGTACGCGCATTAGGCTCGTGTTAACTATCGTATTTGTTTCCTCAGTAGAAATATCAAATAGTGAAAGTAGGTACTTCTCAGCGAACCATTCAGTGGGTCAGCCCGTGCCACCTGTGTTATAGGTCCTGTGACATTAAAAAAGTTGTTCTCGTGCCATAGAAGACATCAGCGGTAAGGTACAAGTAATCTAAAGACTCCCTTGACAGCCCTCAGCTATGAGGAGTACACCTATACGTTGATAGGTCGTTTGACTCTCAGTGGCGCTAAAATTGTTTAGATACCTTGATACATAGTGAAACTACTAATAAAAGCACTTGCTAAGTGAAAACGTCCGACATTTTGATAGCCCAGGAATACCAAGGTCACAAACTAGTCAGCACTTTTTAACGTGAGCCGCAGATCGTATGTCAAATATCACATCACTTGTGTTGCAATGTGTCCGCATCTTACGCCTGGAGATGGAAATCAACTGCCGGGTAACATGTAGTCTGTGCGACTTTGAACCCCCTTTGTGTGGTGGACTGATCTGGGCCAGATGCGGATAACACGACAGCCAAACTTGTCCAGTCAGTGTCACGAGAGAGTGGGAGAATTGTAGCTCAGTATTAACACGGCATCAAAATTGGTCCGATAACTTTCAGCCAGCGCATAAACTGCGCCCATGGAATTTTCACCTTGCAACTTTACACCTGTCCCACCTAATTAAAGTAGTATCGTATAAAAGTACGTTCTTTCTGACAAAACTTACCCCAAAATTTGAACACTTCCAAATATCCTCCAATAATCACCATCTTGTATCGCTTTTCATCCCCCTCACCAGCTAGCAATGGCTCCAAGAGAAGCGGATGATAGTTCCTTTACGAGCTCATCAACACGAGGAACGCTAGATGCCCAAATCATGTGATACGACGTTGTGTCAGCCCAACCCCAGGTGGGCAACTCTGCCAGTACAACTCCAGATGCAACCAAATGTAGCCGGAACAATTAGCCATAAAAATTCATTGTACAGATGAGATTTATCATTATCCACCTACAATACACCTATATACACTACACATATTTCTCTCCGTATCTGTGGGGAAACGCAGTTTATCTGTTTGACCGTGGCTTTTGAGACAGACACCGCCCCCCGTTCAGCTGTAACACCCTTTCGGTGCTTAGCTGCCATACCATCAGAAGGAAGCACAAGGGCTGGGATACTGCCAGGTTACCCAAGCCCAGACAAGAGAAGTCGAGAGGCGAAAGCCGGGATCGAACCACGGACCTTGCGGTCAGTAAATTCACCCTCTAACCACTGAGCCAACTCGCAGCTGAGCTGAAAACGTACCGTCAAAACGCCTTTGGACAAAGAACATGAATAACATTTGCTACTGCTCTAGTTGCAACCTAATTAGATTGATCATCAGAAGGTAACAAGCACTAACCAATGTTTGGTGTACCAGAATGATGATGAATACAATAGTTGGGAGCACTTGCTACAAACAGATACAATGCGAAAAGTGGAATAAGCCAGAAAGTGACTTATCGTTTGAGGACACTTGTCGAGAGTTCCTGAGTGAAGTTCCGGACGTGGGACGTGTCTTCTCTGCACTATAGCTGCTACACGTGTTCCGTAGTTATCCGTGGAGACTTGTGGAGCTCGGTTGACTTCCTGGCCTGTGCGCGCGACTGCGTGTGTTCTGGGCCGAGTTGCATGCCTGTTTATTGTGTACAGTATGAAGAGAGGGGTGTCCGTTCGGGGTCGATAACTGAACGAACGTTCGTAAGCCTGATGCGTGACGAAGGTGGTAGCCGCGTAAACAAAAAATGAATGGGAAATTGTAGTGTACATGTTGTCGGCTAAGGTCGCAAGTGGGACAGGAATTGTCGCGTGGTTTGAGTGTTTGTGACGCGTGATCTGGTGAGTGACCTCTACAAATACTGCCCCCCTAGCGAAGGAGAAAAGTAGATGCTGATGAAATGGTAGGCGATGTTGTGGAACAAACCAAAGCACGAGGGTGTCACTGGACACGCATGCACTAATCAGATTGGGTAACCGCTTTGTTCTGTCTGATCTGGGAAATTCGGTCGCAAGTACTTCACCACCCACTATCAGTTGCTAAGTTCGGTAAACAGATCTGACCAACTCATCTGACCAACTGCCAACAACCATGAATGAGCTTGGATTTTGGGGGTGAGGTGTACCCCCGGTAAAAAACGAGGAACTCGACGCCTAAATAAACAAGCAAAGATAATGTGGGAGATTGTTTAAATATACGGTAATCTAGAAAAGGGTAATCTAGAAAAAGGCCAATGTGTCACTGGTTGGCGACAGTAGTGAGACGATGTCACCTCAACCGAGGATAAAACCACCTATGAAGATCAGTGAGTGACCTTGGGTCAGTTAGTTACGCGTCAAATTAGTGTTGTCCGAGTTAATAATGCTTTTATAGCAATGAAAGTCTTGATGAAGGATGAAAAACACATCAAGTCAGGGTAAATGGTGACAGTGGCAAGAGGGTCAGAGTTCCTCTAAGACGTTGGATGGGGGGGTGAACTGCTTGGGGTTTCCATGAATTCCAGCCAAAACGTCAATGAGGGACCCGACGAGCTTCACTGTTAATGTCTTAATCTTAATTAATCTTAATTAAATCTTAATTAAATCTTAATTAATCTTAATTAATCTTAATTTTGACAAGCTTAAACGCCCAGTTGAAAAAAGCTACCAATGAAGAACAAAGGTACTCAAGGTTACCGGGGTTGGTCTTTCAACTGGAATATTCAGCTGACACGCTGAAGCTAATCCCAACCCTTAAGCATCCTCAGTATGCTGCACTCGATGGTTGTTCAATGAACAGTCATGGAAGAACATCTCGTACAGCAGGAAACGAACCGTGGGATAGTGATGTGTTCCAGACCGTGTTCCTTCTAGCCAAAGACCCTCCTTGTAGCAAAGCTCCCTATTCCACGAGCAAATGTTTTCAAATTTCCGGATAAACTTATTCTCTATACTACGACCAATCCTCTAATTCGACCGACTTCAACTGGCTTTTCCAGTGTCATAATAGAACAAACAAAGTAACCATACCGAGGTTTAAAATATCCAAACTACTGAATGCTGTTGTAATTAACCGATCTGAGGAATTACATCAGTGATATGCGGCAAATCCTTGAACATCCTTGAACACCTCGGGACGTCAACGAAGGAGCACTTTACCGTCAGCAGACACGTGTGAGTATGTAGCCATCCGTTCACCACATACATGACTGTACAGGTCACCGTCACTCGCCAGATCACGAGATCTGTTTGTTTTTTGCACTCACAAATCACGCCACAGAATCGCGACTGACTTGACTGCACAGCTCACAGTCAAGCCCTAGATTCCAAGACGCCTTCTTTCCCAACACGTACAAATCACGACACATAAGGGTGACTCATCCGACATCGACTGTCTAGCGTCTGTTAAGGTAGCAACAAGTCATGTCACCCACACGCACGCAAAAGTTCCTACATAAAATAACAGCACAGCACCGCACAGCAACACAACACAACAGAGCTACGCACGTCACCCAACTCGGAGCAGAGCCGCTCGGAACTTACGGGGTTTCACTCCCAGATAGTCAGGGAATACGTGTGGCTGTTACAGCAGCGAAGAAGACACGAAAGCTGCATCCGGACTTAGAACAGGATTTATCAAACTGTACCTGCAAAACGATAAGTCCCTTGTTTGCATAGATACCTGTTGTAATAATTTTACTCAACGAGCAGACATTGTTAGTGCTCCTCGTTTTCTCGTTCATATAACTAATTTTCGGGTTCTAGTAGAGCATTAACAAATTAATTTGTAAGTGTGATCTAGGGCTTGCTTGTGAGCTGTGTAGTCAGGTCAGTCACGATTCTGTGGCGTGATTTGTGAGTGTAAAAAAACAGATCACGTGACCTAGCGAGTGGCGGTGAGCTGTACAGTTATGTATGTGGTGAAGGGATGGCTACAGGTACTCGCGAAATAATATGTGGGTCAGTCGCGTCATGCTCACCTCAAAATGTAACCGTTGTAGTTTCACAGACGCATTTTAGAACCCCCATTCGATTTTTATTCAGACACTGTCTGCATTTTAAGTACTCTATTTCAATGATATCCTTCACGTTCAGAGAATGATGTGGATGATACAGTGAAACTCCAGTGCCACATGAGTGTATTAAATCCGTTAATAAACGATAACATGGCCTACATATGCTAAAGATATATTCGCTATTTTGCCAAAATAAGGCGAGTCGCATCACGTAGTCTGTGTGACGTGCGATCAACGTACCAGACGAAGTCGTTTCCTGATTGGTCAGTATCAGCCAACCAGCAACAGCCGTTATCGCCTCCTCACGCGCGAGCAGTGCGTACCTGGGTATGACTCCAGACATCTGACATGCGAGAATTGTGCCTAATCATGTAATGAGCAATCATGTGTGAACATTTTGACGATGTGTTTGCTTTGCCGGCTCGCTCGAACGACGACCAAGTAACTCCCCTGGTTGTATCGATCAATTAAGCCGCCTGTCGGGGTTTCCCAACCGGGAAGCGCCAGTGACACCTGAAACCCTGTGGGCATTTCTTTATTTGTTTTAGATGGTTGCGTGATTTATAGAGTTTACATTCACACCATTTCTGTTGGAACAGTCGGACAAGCCAATCACATCGCATGAGGGTGCACACTGCTAAGTCCAGTGCATCTAGCGTGCACTGGTAGAATAGTGTTACAACGCTCCTCTTACAAATCAAATGTCCGGGGCTCAAACCCCGACCATCGATGTCTTCGGAGCATTGCTCTAGTCTGGTGGAAACACCGGACCACCAATGCTGGAGTATGTCGAATGCTATTCGGGAGAAATAACCCACCCTCGATTGATGAACTGATCACACTGCGTCGGATGCGCTGGCTGCGTATGCCAGTCGACTGACTTCCTAGAAGGGCTCTGTTTGCACAACCACGTGAAGGGTGGAAGAGAGCCAGAGGTGGATAAACAATGACTTGGCAGCGATGTATAAAACCCATTACCAGCGAACCCAGCTGCGGTGGTCACTGCCGTCTTCCTGGATGGAGACTCCGAGACGGGCCACATCAATGGTTAGAGACACTGTCAGATGTGGACCAGTCGCGTTCTCGATGGCACTCGTGCATCCAAGCTATTGCCTTCAATGCATAGCTCCCTTCCCAATCCCCCCACTTGACAGTCCACTGAGAGTGGCGTACTCACGCACTAATTTATCAGTTCCCGCCGCCAATGCGCAGCTTCCCAAATCATCGGTGAACAAAACTATGCCAGCTACAACTACTGTACGACAAGTACGCGGTTCTTACAGGTGACAATGACGATGCGATGATCTAAAAGCTAGAAAATTTAAAGCATCACAAAATTCACAACCATTTATCTCTAATTTCTGGATATGATGGCTAAAATCAGCATTCTGATAAATAGATAAACAATACGGATTGTACGGTTATAGCAAATGTCCACGATATTGGTCACCTAGGAAAGATCACACAGTCTTTGCCCTCGAATTGGGATCATTCGAATGCGGCCCCGGGGGATTAGCATGAAAATTGATATTTTTGGCAGACCACCTACCCAAACCTTAATTAAAGCCAGTTCCAGTGAAACAAAATACCATAAACAATTAATGTAAATCATTTCTGCATCATTTATGTATCCGAATGATGGTTTTAAAACAACACTGTCCACCCCAAGTGACGGGTGGTCTCGTAGCATGAATTTCATCAACATGGCACATGGATGCCTGAAATTCCTCTGGCGATAAACATTATAACTTTGAGGTAAACAGGTTGTGTTGGTCCCTTGAAGGTTTCCAGTAGAGAAAGGTGAGTCTCCGCAGGCAGTCTCTGGAGAGCGAACAGCTATACTACAATTTCTTGATAATTCAGAATGACCGATCAGAAATGGTCAGTTCTAACGATTTATCTCTTTAAAAAGACACAGTTGTACTTTTGCCTACTTCAAAGAGCACAACGACGCTGGGTGCTCCCCTTTCGGAGAGCGATCGATCGATCGAATCGATAATGAACTCGAAAAACACTGTGTAGGGGCCGAAGATCTCATCGCTCTAAGCGTTGTATGAATTATGAATACAAAGTTCGTTGTGTTAACTATCCAGCTGAAAGCATCAGACACTGAGACTGTTGAATCTAAATTGACCTCATGATACTTCCGCCCATGTACTTTTGATCTCCAAATGGTTTGCTTATCTGTACTCGCCACTCAACTTGCCGCAAAGGCACTCCCGTCCGACACTTTGTGTATTAGCAG